CTACAATTTCTAAAAGGACCTTTAGTAACTTTTTAAAAAAAATCATCAAGGGAATCATCATTCCTCAACTGAGTAGAAATTATAGGGAACAAGTAGTGATACCTTAGGTTTATATAACACTTTATGCCTTCAAAGTACCACTTGATAAATTTTGTGACATTGGTATTATCACCTCCTTTGCACAGATGAGCAAATGGACCCTTAAAATAAAACAATATTTAGCAATTCCCCCTTCTACTAAGAGGCACATTAGAAATTTGAATGAAGCTTTTATTTGTTTCCATCTTTCCAATTCTATGATTCAATTTATCAGAGCTTTACTATAAAAATACAAGTAGCATTTTTTAGCACTGAAAACCTTTTTATTAATTTTATTGGTACATTTTAGGTATACAGTATAATGACATTCATCATGGGAGATTTGTACCTTGACATAATATATCTTGATTCTTATTTTCCCCATTCCCCTGCCCTTCCTTCAACCCCTCCACCCCTCCCTAGCTACAAAGACTTTGTTTCCCTTTTTTCCTTTTCTCATATTTATTCCATCCCCTTCTTTCCTTTCTCCTGCCCCACTTCCTCTTACCCTTTACACCTTCTTGCCATTTCACTTTGTCTATTTTATATTTTGATCCTTATTTACAACTTTTAGTTTCTCACACCAGAGAAGCTATTTGGTATTTACACATAACACTGAAAATTTTAACAAGTTTATTTCATCATATTTTTAAGAATTATGGTTATAATTGCAACAATGTGCTAATTATTAGAAATTAACAGATCAAGAGGGGGGTTAGGTGTACTTTTTCTTATACCCCTATGTTATACATGAGGAGACTTTAGATGTCTAGTTTGCATATCACAATCACAAGGTTTTACTTGTAAAAAAAATTTGAAACTGTTAACAGTTTGTCCAAGGTCCACCTTTAATCTTGATATGTCATTTTTTGAGAGACACCAGGATCATTATCATGTTGGTCATTTGTTTCATTCTTTGTATTAGTACATTTGTGATTCAAAATTTCACTGTAGGTATTTGGTATGTACACATGATACATCTTAATTCTTTTTAATTAATTCTTAATTCTTTGCCTCCCTACAAATGTTTGCTTTAATGATAATTTCTTTGCTATGGGTTGGAACTTTGGACATTTGATATAAATGATATACACTTTTTAAACTTTAAGATGGGCTTTGGGAGGCTTGGGTTGTAAAGGAATTATAGCTCACTTGCTGTTAAGAGGCGGAGTCTGGTGGAAAGAAGCAAACCCCTCAGGATGTGTCCTGGAAGGATGTATCTCCCTCCAGTGAATATCACTCTCGGCCATGCTGTGAACTGTCTCTCCTCTGCCATGCCCTTGTGGATGCCACCCTGCCTTGCAGCCAGCCAACTATGGACTGAAACCTTTATAAACATATTTTGTGAGCCAAAATAAAGCTTTCCTCTTTGAAATTGTGTGTGTCAAGGAATTTCATCCCAGCAACGAGAAAAATGACTACACCGCCATGATTGATGGAACGTAATTTCTCAAGTGTTTACCACTGTCATTTTGGGATAGGTAAATATGGCCAGTCTCATCTGGAAACTAAAAACGTAAACAATTAAGATAAAATATGTGCAATGATGTGTTTAGCAATAACAAGGCAGATACTGAAACACTGAGAATTATGTTATTGTTAAAAGATGAACTCAGGGACATTAAAATATGAAGCATTTAAGTAAACAGAAATTCACAAGTCAGGCAAAGCTTTACTATAGTTTGGGGATCCACTGAAAAGTGAATGGTTTTTGCCAGGTGAATGTGGAAGCAAGCCAAAGAAAATACTGATTGGTTAAATGAAGAAGGTAAAGGTAGAGGTTAAGTGGCAGTTTGGGGATGGCTAGGGTTAATTTATTGCTTTTTGTTTATTTGTGGTTTTGTTTTTTTTCTTTTCATTAACACTGTAATATTTCAGTTTGCTGACATAAAACCAAAGCCACTGGAGCCACTTCAGTTTAATTGGCCTCTCGGTTCTTTATTTAAATATCATATTCCAGTAGCACTGTACAATTGTCAAACCTCTCCAGCATGTACCTTATTTGACCAGACAGTATCCTTCTCAAATATTTTTATCATCTCAATTCTACACATGAGAAAACTGAGGTCTAGAGAGGTCAAATTGAGGTGCCAGGATAATGCAGTGTCTTAATCCAAAATCACCTTCTTACCATACTGCCAATGTAATAATGATCAAAATATACCCACAAGTGAGAACGGAGAGTGTGTGCTTTGAAATCAGATAAAGTTCCAGTTCTGTTACCAAGTATCTGTACAAAATAAGAATATAATAACATTTCCATCTCCTAGATTTCTTGAGAGAATGATAAATCTGTATGAAGTATTTGGTGTATATTAAATACACCAACGCTAGCTGTTATGTAGAACAATTCCTAGCATTGACTTGGCACAGAAATATAAACTATGCTATTCTAAAATACCATATATTAACTCAATTCATTAGTAATCACATTAAATGGAAATTGAACAAGTTCTAAAGAGAAAATAGGTTTATTAAATAAAGAATGATGCAACAAGAACTTGCAAATGTCTAGTCTTTGCCCATCAAGTTCTGAATAAATGCTGATACAGCAGTAAAGAAGACTGTGTCAGTTAAATGTAACTGCCGACTTGATTGGATTGACAGCTGCCCACGGGAAGAGTAAACCACAATTCTGGGTGTGTCTATGTGAGTCACGGAAGTGTGACTTTACTTACATATCTGGCCCTGACCCTTTCCTCTCTGGCACTGTTTCTCTGCTCTGTTTCTTGGCCACTATGAAGTAAGCATCTTTGCTCTGCCAAACCCTTCTGCCATGATATTTCTGCCATGGAGCCTGATAACCATGTACTGAACCTCCGAAACCATGAGCCCAAGTAAACCTCTCTTCCCTTAAGTATATGCATCAGATAGTGTGTCCCCACAATGGGAAATCTAACCAATACAAATACCAAATCTCCTCTCACAGGACGCATATTCCAGTAGGAGGAGAAACAAGATATCATGCTGATTTTACATAGGAAACGTGCTAAGCAAAATAAGGCAGAATACTGAGTTAGCACTTGAATGATCTGATGGTTTTTAGAAACTGTTCGCAAATTCTTTGATATCACTCCCCAATAGAAGTGGAATATAATTTCCCTCCTTTTGAATAGGGGCCATCCCTAGTGACTTCTTCCAACAAACAGAATTTGGCAGGCATGAGTAAAGCAGAAGTGATGGTGCATGAGTAAATTCTGAAGCTAGGTCACACATGGCTATTTGGCTCCCACCTGGCTCTTGCTTGCTTGCTCTCTCTCCACCTGGGCTTATGGAGTCTGGCTAATCTGAAGCAGCTGGGACAGAGTGAGCATGTGGTGACACCACATAGAAGCAGAGACAGATGCCTGTGGAGCCCCAGCTGCTGAGTCTTCCCAGCCCAGGTGTCAGGCATGTGGGTGAGTGAGCCTTCTGATTCTAATTCCCGGCCTTTTGGCCACTTCTCTTGATCAAATTCAAATGGGATAGAAAAGGGCTGTTTCCACAAGCCCTGCCTGAACTGCAGATTCAAGAACAAAATAAATGGTTTTGTCTTAAGCCAGCGCATTGTTCAGTAATTATTTATACATCTGAAGTAACTGAAATAGTGGATATTTTAAAAACATTTGGGTGTGCTTATGTGAAGAGCAGATACCGGAACAGAGACCTGAATGATGGCAAGTGATGAATTATTCAGAGTTGAAGGACAAACTTCTCATGAAGAAGACATAGCAAATGCAAAGACCCTGCGGTAAGAAGGCACTTGGTATTTTGAAGAATAGCATGTAATCACTGTAGCTGAAGTTCAGTAAAATCTTAGCAAATAAGATGGAAGGGGAAACAGAGAAATGGAGGGCCTTACTTTGTTTTAGACTCTTGAGATGTATTAGGTAAGAATTTTATTCTTAATGTGTGATTTTAAGAGGATCAATCAGACAAGACATTTATACAACAGGAAAGAAAAATAGGTTTATAACCAAATTTTTGAGATAACTAATACAAATCTCTACTAATAGAACAATCCACCAGAATTCATAGAATTTGATTTGTCCTTAAAAAGAATATTCAGAATTCCTTTCTTGAGTTGCACGTTGTCATTAGCATTCTTCCTAACTGAGCACAATACAATCTTATGAGTTTCCTGGTAACTATTTTGAATTTCTATGGTCAATAGATGGATTCCATTTTCACTAAAAACTAGAAGGTCATCAACAAAATGTTCTCTTGCTTTTCTCCATTTTATTCCTAACTTCTACTCAAAAGACTTTTTGTTTCCCCACCCAAGATGAAATCTCTGTTCCAGAACTGTGGCAGAGCCAGCAATTTTCTTTAAAATGCAAGCTTCATCCTTTTTCTTTTCTTTTTTTTTTTCAAGAGGAATGTACTTTATTCCCCTCCCTTCCAGAGCAAGTCAGCAGTTATTTGCACCCCAATGGATATGGTATACAGGACAGAAACAAACAAAAAAGTTTTTTTTTTAAAGCACATTTCACATTTATAGCTCACATAAATATCTGAAAACAAATACATGTCTTCCTTTCTGTATCACTGGCATAATTTATCAGTTTTTAATAAACTACTGTAAATATCTGTAAGAGGAAAATAAATTTTAAAATATGAAAGAAGTTAATAAATAGCCAAATAAGTCAACCATTCAGAGGACAACCTGAATTTAAGATTAAGCCACTGATTTACAAACTTTATTAAAACAAATTCACCTATAAAGACAAGACTGTTTATAGCCTGATCAACTTTTTTTGATAGCGGTTGAAGTTTCACACAAAATAGTGCAAGACTTCAACTAATGAACAAATAAGACATTCAGACATTTCAGCTCCAACAAATACACAGTGACTTCATATCAACTGATGTTAGTCCTGTGTAAAGAATACACTTTCCATTTAAACAGTTTTAATCACCCTTCTGTAGGGCATTGGTAACTTCTAGTGGGAGTTAGAATACAGTCTGTTCTTGATGAAGACAACACTCGATAGATGTTGTTGGATGCCTGGATAGTGCTGAATGTGATAAAACCAGCGAGACACATTAAGATACTTCTCCTTTTCTTGGACTGTCAGGCCAACTATAAAGTGATGAAGTCCGTAGTATAATAGGATATCTGCTAAGGTAAAGTTATATCCCGTAAGGTAGACTTTATCTCAAGATATGAATTAAGATCCTTCAACAGAGTGTGGATATTTTCTTTACTGGAGTGTCTGTCTACTTGAGCGACTCTGTATTCCAACCACTGCTGGACTACTGCCTTTTCTTCTGCAGTGCTTCCCAGCAAATGTTCCTTGTTGGCTTGCTTGACTGGATGAGTTGCTATTGTTGTCAATCCTATTAGAGTTGGGCCATTGTTTGTCTGAAGAACTGGAATCTGTCGCTCGCCCTGCGCGCTATACTTCTTCCCCTTTTTCAGCCCTAGGGACTTTTCTAGAAGCTTCAAATCCGCGGCCGCCGCCATCTTCCGGCCCCAGCGCCTGACCTTCATCCTTTTGCTTTAAAGTAATATTAATAAATGCTTTCTGTAAGACTTTGCTTCCCAGTTAATATCATATACATGATATTTACAGCCTTAAATAATTTTATAAAGCATGCACTAAAAGAAATGACAAAAATCTCTAAACATTACAAAAGATAGTAAAATACGTTAAAATGATAGCAGAGACCAAATTATCCTTCTGGTTCCATAGCTAAAAACATCTTTAGAAGTTTATACAAAGTTCAAGATGATTAAAAATGTAAATTTCAGGTGGGTATGTTCACTGAATGGGAGAAGACAAGAGTAGAAAGATCTTAAATTATTGTTTTTTTTTTCCTAGCAGGTTACACGAAAGTTGAAATTTATGAATATAATACATTCTTAGAAATTTTTAAGACATCCAATGCTGCGGAAAATAGGTTCTATAAAACTAAAACCAAAATGTGTATTATTTCTCCTGGGATACAGTTGAATCAAACCACAACTGAGGGCAAAAATCCAATTATATTAGTAAAGATTGCTCTCAGTTATTCATTTCTTCAAGTGAAACTAAACGATAAAAGGAGGCAAGTAGGCAGCAAGTGCCTTCATAAGTACATGGGCTTACAGTGGTATCATTTTTTTGTTGTTGTTGTTAGTGAAAGAATAAAAATGGATAAAAGTATCTAGTGCATTGCAAATGTCCTCAGTGCAAACTTTTGCATTTTTTTCAAGAAATGGGCCAAAGAAATAAAATAACCTACTCAGAAAAATGAGATGTTCTCTGAGAAATACAGTGTACTCTTTATGAGTCAAAGCTCTTGAGAAAGAATCAGAAGTTGAAATCCAAACTCTAGTGAGTTCTATAACTTGTAATAACATACATAAACTTTCTGAGCCTCAGTTTCCTTTTAGGTAAAATAGGAATAACTGCAGGATTAGTCTATTAAATTAAATAATGCATATAACCATCTGTTAAAGAGTCAGCACTCAAAAAATATTATAATCAGCTCAGCCTTTACCAAATGTGTAAGTTTTAGGAGGCTGAGTTTAATTTTGCCTAAACCAATTTAAGCTGCATTGCTTTGGGGTTGGCTCACTTAAAACTAAGAAAAATTACAAAGACACCAGGAATACAATTACAACATTTTCCGGGTTTCTACACTGGAGAACAGTAGGGGTGATGACAGAAAAGATGGCTTTGCTGTTTCAGGATTCTAGTGGTGGTGAAAATGATACCACTGTTTGCCTGAGAATTTGAACTGCACTCATAAATTCTGTCCTCTATTTTTTTTTTTCCCTTTTCTGTCTGCTCTTGCTAACAAAACCAGTGTGTCTAATCAGCAGAATATTTATAGTTTCAAAGCAGTTCTTTCGTTGCTGCAAGTAGGGCCCAACCGCAGGTGAGAACAATGAAAAGTTTATCTCAGCAAGATCAGTAAAGACCAGTTTGTGGCAGCACCTCCCCTCCAGGGCAGGGACTGATCTATTCAGCAGGGCATTGCTACCAATGGTGATGCCCCTGATCCGAAGTGCCCGGAGCCGTGCCCTGCCTTGCCTCATTGGTATTGCTAATGACCACCTGAGAGCGCAGCATAGCCGTGGCTGCCTACCTGCCTGTAGCCATCTCAGACCTGCGGTGTCCTTGATATGCCAGTAGCATTCGGTGAGTGCACCAAGCAGCCTGAACAGAGCTGGCTTCTGGGTTCGCTCGTGCCATTTTCCAGCTGTGTGATATCTACAAAGTCGCCACACCTCTCTAAGTCTCAATATTTTATCTGTAGCCTGGCGATAATTATGATACCTGCTGGGCTTTTGTGAAAGTGAAATGAGATAATTATGTAAAACCCTCTGGCGGATGCTGGGGGCTCAGCGAATATTTGCTCATGGCGAAACCTCAGCGTTTAACCAAGGACATTATTATTTTTAGTCAAACAAACCTTTCCTGATTGATGTCACACAAGGTCAGGATCAGATGGTTCTTCCTCTGAGTTCTACAATGGAGGGGTGAGGACCAGAGCTTGGGGGTCACGTTACCCTTCGTAAAAGTAGGTTTCGTGTAATTCCCACAGTGACGCTAAATTTGGAACTTGAGGTTTCTGGATTCATCTGGGATAACAAGAAACACTGTGGGCAAGCGAAAAAACAGACTTGGAACCCCAAATAAGGGAGAAAGTAGAAAATACTTTCTCGGGTAGAAGAGGAGTTGTAGGAGTATAGGTCAGAGATACCCAATAAAAATATAGGCCATATTAGGAAATTTTAAACTTTCTAGTCCCTAGTTTTCAAAGTTAAAAAGAAAGAACTTCAATTAATTTAATGGTAAATTTTATTTGACACGATGTATCAACACTTTTTTTTCGAAATTAAAATCAAAGGCCGGGGATTTAGCTCGCTTCTGCCGCCTGCCTCCCAAGCACAAGGACCCGAGTTCGATCCCTGGTGCAAAACAAAACAAACAAACAAAAAACTTAAAATCATGACAAAAAATATTGAGACACTTTTGGTACTAAGTTTTTTAAATGTAATGCATATTTTACATTTAACAGGCAATCTCAATGAACACAGTCTATGTTTCAGGTGTTCCTGGTGAGCGGCTACTGTTTTGGACAAGTACAGAGAATATAATTTACAGTTGTGTCAAAAATTATTTTTAATCTAGAAACCATTTAAAGAAGCCAGTGTACACATTGTTTTCAAAAGTTTGCTTCCAGATAGAAAATGATTTGGGGAGAAAAATCATCTAATAGCACTGTTCAGAATTTAAAACTTCTGAATTTAAAACCACAGATGTTTGTTTGGCGCCCTCTGCTGTTCATGTGCTGGATTAAACAGTTTTTTCCCCGCCTCTGGCAAAAATAAATACCACCCCCCTTTAAATTTATTGGTACATTTAAAGCAAACAAAACAGTTACATTTATCATTAGGATCTTGTACCTTTATATGACAGATCGTGATTCTTATTTTTCCCCATAAACAGTTTTTTTAAAGGTCCTATCGGAATTTTCATTGGTCTAGCCCTAGAGTCAAACACAAAATGAGGTCTTTTCAAATAAACGACACTTTAGTTATATGAACAGCACTTGACAATGCCACGTGTTACATTGTCACCCTTAGTCTCCCGTTACCTTGGTGAAATAATACTCTTTTATTTGGAGCCAGTAATGCAACTAAAAATTGGAGGAAAACAAATGAACATACAATTATTCTGCATTCAGAAAATACAGCTAGACATTCCTAGCGTTGATGGGACAGTAGGAAATGTAAGCACAATAAGGAACTTTTAGACCACAGAATGTCTAGGCCTCTTAGGCACCATTTTCTCCTTAGCAGCCAATACTGCAGGCACATTTAATTTGAAATCCCAAAAGCTCTTTCAAATCATGGCTACAAAGCAACAGCTTTGCAGGTGCAAATTCCTGATATGGCTTTGGATGTGGGGAGGAGAGAATCTCAAAGGAAGCTCTCACAGCTGCAGGTATGATAAGGATGAGTAAGTACAGACTTTGCCAAGTGTGGGGAGAAGTTTCTGATGTTTTCTCAAGAAAGTTTAGAGTCTGGTTATTTTGCTCCAGAAGGTGTAAGCAACAGTCAAGAAGCTTATAAATAAAACAATATAACCTCAATAGGTCAAAAGACCAGAGTAGAACAGGCTGTCTTGGGGCTTCCCTCCTTCTTTTCAGATGTATTTCTTAAGCAGAAGCCTATCTCTGGCTTCTGGCTGCTCAAGCTGACTTCTCCTCTACTGCAAGCTTGCAATTCTGCCTTTCAAAGAGCTTTGGAGTCAACTGGCACGAACAGAATTTCTCTTAGGTTTTGGAGGGGAAAATACCTGAGGAGCTGATCAATTACACGCAAATTAAGTGACTGCAGTCCATGCACACATCCAACCTCTTGTAGCTCGTACCATTCAGGAAGTCAAGATGTACCAGAAACTTACCTTGTAGTTATTCGCAGTGAAAAGGTCCCATGTTAAACAGATAGATACCATCATCATGGGAAAGGAGTTAGTGAAGGAAATCATAAATTGCTTTAATTTACTAACACAAAGATGAACCCCAGAAGCTTAACTTCAACAAAATCCTGTTTTGGAGAAGTGTAGAAAAGTATTTAAAAGCAATGCCTAGGAAACTGAGCTTAGTCCGAGTGTTAGGAAATTGTACATGTTACTTTAAACTCCTCCATTTTTATACCTGACTTCCGGGTTCTTCCTAATTTAAATTTCATTTTCCCAATTTAAGTTTCATTTTCTCAATTTAAGTTTCTTTCCCGCCCCCAGTTGAATTCTTCCCAGAAATGACGCCAACATCTGATAAGGGACTCCTGCAGGACTAAGACCTTATAAGGCAATGTGGCCTGCAATAGATTAAAAAACAACTAATTCCCCTAAAATTACAAAACTCCCACCCAAGACCCTATAAATGAACCAACACTCCTTCCCTTGATACCCGCCTCCTTTTCTTCGCCTCCCGACCTTTGTGCCTCGCCTGACTCCCTTCATTAAAGATCTCCTGCCGGACCTCTCGGTGCATAAATAACCTGATTGGGAGGGGGCGCCCGAAGGGGCACGCGAGACACTTTCACTGAGTCCTAGTTCCACTTCTCACTATTAGATACGGCCAGTGTTTAATTTCCTGATCCTTGGCTCTCTGGACTACAAAATGGAATAATGGCACAACACGCTTCGTAGTTTCATCATGAAGATTAAAGGAATTAACCCTTGCAGAGTGTCTCATGAATGAGCAACATTTGTTGAAGTAATTACCGAAGTTTATAAGGGTTTCCAAGTCTTTAAAGAGGTGACAAGTATAAATCATAAATCGTCGATAAACAGGATCCTCCAGGGTTCTTAGAAGACTGGCAAAGAAGAAGGAAAACCTTAAAACTACTCCCATGCCACTTACTTTTCCTCTACTGCCCAAGTGTAGACTCCCAGTTCCTTTTGCTAGGCCTTACTTGTTACGTGCTTTGTTGAGACAAGGTCTTGCTGTATAGTTCAGGCT